TTGGGTTTTTTTTTTTTTTTTTTTTTTTTTTTTAGACAGGGTTTCTCTGTAGCTTTGGAGCCTTTCCTGAACTAGCTCTTTAGGCCAGGCTGGCCTCGAATTCACAGAGATCGCCTGCCTCTGTCTCCTGAATGCTAGGATTAAAGGCACGCTCCACCACCTCCCGGCTCCTCTAAGTCTTGAGTCTCAAGATTATTGAAATTTTTCAAAATTATCGAAAATCTTTTTATTGTATTTTTTAAAACATTTATTGCCAGGCAGTGGTGGCACACACCTTTAATCCTAGTGCTGGGGAGGCAGAGGCAGGTGATCTCTGAGTTTGAAGCCAACCTGGTCTACAGAGTAAGTTCCAGGACAGCCAGGGCTATACAAGAAAGCCTGTCTCAAAACAAAACAAATTTACTTCCTTTTGTATTGGTGTTTTACCTGATGGTATGTCTGTGTGAGGGTGCGTATCCTCTGGAACTGGAGTTACAGACAGTTGCGAGCGGCCATGTGGGTGCTGGGACTTAAGCCTGAGTCCTTTAGAAGAGTGGCAGTGCCCTTAACCTCTGAGCCATCTCCACAGCACCTATTTTATTTTTTAAAAAATGCTTCTAATTGCATATGTGTGTTGCCAGATTTGGTCTCTCTTCCTACCACATAAGTCCTGGAGCTAAGATCAGGTCGTCCACTTGGTGGCCAGTGTTTTTATCCATGAGCCATAGATGATCAGAGTTTTGTCTGTTTTGTTTCCTTGTGTAAGGCGTGGGGGAGCATCTGGAAGTTTTGTCTGAGCCAGCCAAATCATTTGAACTGACTCCCTCTGTCAGGATATGCTTGTTTGTGCTTTGTCTTGCTTCTAACACCACCTCTCACCCATTAAGTCATAAAGAAAGAATGATTGCATCACCAGAAAAATGCCAAGGGGAGAAAAATGAGTCTGTGTTAGCTTTCCATTTCTACAATAAATACTTGAAATAATCCACTCTCAAAGAGAAGAGGGCTGTCTGGCTCACCTTATGCTGGTTTAGCCCATGACAGGTCGGCTCTATTTCTTTGGGGCCCATGCCAGCAAGTATGGTGGCAGGATTTTCACCCCTTCTTAACAGTGCTAGCTGAGTACCAAACCTGTGGCACTGTGCCTTTCAGGAGCAGGAGGTATTCTATATCTATTTATGGCAGACCTGACTCTCAAAATCTATTTATGCCTTGCATAGTAAATTTTCTATACTGAAACATACTCCTATGATTATGTCTTTGTGAACAGGAATACTTTCGTTAGTGAAATTTCTGAACACCAGGTAATTGAAAATCAACAGACCTTTTGAGGCTTGATAGATGGAGGCCAGAGAGTTCATATAAGAATAATGATAAATAAATAATTGCAGTTGCTATCTAAATGGTATTTACTTGGTGCCAAGTACTAGTGCTAATGGTTTCATGGACCATAGGCTGTGTAGCTGAGAATAACCTTGAGCTTCTGATCCTCTGGCTTCTACCTTCCGAGAGCCCTGGTAAGAGTCATGTACTAATCTGCTGGTCTATTCATGCTGAGGACTGAACCCAGGGCTTTGTGAATGCAAGGAAGGAGTCGCCAGCTTGCGTCTATACAGCAAGCTTCATTTTAGTTTAAGGCACCTAATGTGGTAAGTGTAGTTAGCTGTTTTAGGAGTTAATTATCCCGTGTCTCACAGCTTGTAAGTACCAAAGCTGGAATTGAAGTCCCTGTCTCCGGAGTCTGTCGTTGTGAATTCCTGCCTCAACCTGCTAAGTGTAGAATAGACATACATTACCACACCCAGAGACATTCTGATCTCAGCCATTTCTCATTGCGTCTCCTTGTCTCTTTTGTGAGGAAGTTGGTGTGATTCCTACTAATGTGGAGCCCTACAGCCTTGCTGCTGCCTCCTCTTTTGTGTTGGTGGTTGTGCTATAGCTGAACTTCAGACCTTGGGTGTGTAAAGCATTTGTTCCCCACAGAGCTGCTCTCCCCCCTTTCCAATTTTAGGACCTCTTTCCTCCCCATATTGCTTAATCCTAATGCTGTCTTATGGTTAAAATTCCCTCTCTGTGGATACAGAGGACTATTTGATTGATAGCTTGCATATTTGCAATGATACAGATTGGTCTGACTCCACTGCTTACAGGTTTGACAGTAGGTCTCAATCAAACTTTGTTTCTCCGTCCTATCCCAGAGAAGCCTCACTGGGCCCCTCTCAACTGAGTGAGTAACTGAAACTGCTCAGCTAGCCAGACTGCATTTTTGTCATTTTCCCCCTTGAATGTGAACTAAGAGGGTTTTTTTATTTTCTCCTTGTTCAATGACAACAACAGTTAAACCAGAAGGTGAGTGGGAGGGACAAATGGGTGTACTTGCATGAAGATCTTCTTAAGGACCTACTCTTTAGAAGGGTGCCTTAGCTGTGGCAGTCACTGCTCTGCTGTTTAGCCAGTTCGTCTTTGCTGTGGTTTCTGGAGGGCTTGCAGGTATGGCCAACCTTTTGGCATTGTGACTTGGCATTGTTATCTAGAAAGTGTGTGCTTAAGAACTGAGCAGTGCCATTATGGCAAGGGGGAGGAAGGGAGAGCAAAAAATACCTTTAAAGTAAAAATATTTTAAGTAAGTGTATAATTCTTCATTGGGATGAATTCATGGCTATCGTCAGTTGCATGTGGGATGTGGGTCACAGATTAGACACGCTTGCTAGAGCGTCTGGAGACAGAGCTTGTTTCTGGCTGAATGCTGAGCTGTTCTAGAGTCCACTTCCTTGGTGCTGTCAGCGCTTCTCCCGGCCTGTTTTGTTTCCTGATGGCACCTTCCTGTTTGCTTCACTTGCTTTTACCTTTTCCTGCCATCGTCACTGATTTACTTTTGAATTATGTATGTCTGTGTGTTCATATGCCATGTGAGTGTTGGTGCCCTTGGAAGCCAGTGATGTTGGATCCCCTCGAGCTGGAGTTACAGGTGTTGTGAGCTGCCTCTTATGGGCACTGGGAATTGAACTCAGTCCTCTGCAA